CTGTGGTGCTATGAACCCAGCAGTACAGACGAGGCCTTGTCACTGGAGGACAAAGATCTGAGGGACCGGGAGAGGAGAATGGCCAATAACGCCAGGGAAAGGGTGCGTGTGCGGGACATTAACGAGGCCTTTAAAGAACTGGGACGCATGTGTCAGATGCACTTAAAAACGGACAAAGCACAGACCAAACTGATCATCCTACAGCAAGCGGTGCAGGTCATTCTGGGCCTGGAGCAGCAAGTACGAGGTATGGTAACAGCTGGCAGGTGCATTTCGGGGCCTTTTCTCTTCCCCCCCCCCTCTGCATTTCTGCCTGCGCGTGCATCTCTGTTGTGACTCCTGCTTTCGGTGCGAGGTTGTGTGTTTGCATCGCCAGCGGCGCCCTCGGGTGCGCCACGCGGCAGGCTGAGCTTTCCAAAGCCCCGGCCCGGGGTGGATTTGAGGCTGCTCTGTCCGTCTCCCCTCACGCTTCATGGGAATTTGGCACCTGAATCCCATTAAGCAGCTTTGGAAAACTCAGTCCTCAACTCCGAGAGCTGGCTGAGGCACTTGGGGTTTTCTGCAAGCGAGCACATGTTTAAATTGGCATGGTGTGTCAGCCGGGCATGGGGTTTTGCTCTAGCAGGGGTCCAGCCAAGTTCTGCAGCCACTGCAAGGAGCAGCAGCTTGCACTGAGGTCGTTTCCTCGCATGGTCCCGTGTGTCTGTCCTGGGACTCTGTCCTCGCTCTCTCTTTCGGATGCTGTTGCCATGCGCGATGCTGTTGCCCAAACTGAGGTTGCTTCCCTCCCTTCCTTGCTGTTTTTGGCATAGAGCGCAATCTGAACCCTAAAGCAGCCTGCTTGAAGCGTCGGGAAGAGGAGAAAGTGTCCGGAGTAGTAGGAGATCCCCAGATGACACTTTCAGCTTCACATCCTGGTCTAGGAGATGGTCACAACCCTGTTGGACACATGTAAAGGTATCATCCCCTGCCTTGTGATCCCAGCACACCGCTGTGGGTCCAACCCGATGCCGGTGCGCGCGCTGCTCTGCTTTGGCTGCTCAGCCCCACTCGTTTGGCACCAGCCAATGTCCTTCTTCATTTACCTTAAGTAAATGACTTGCACGTTCATGTCGTTTGCTCGTCCGTGGACACCCAAAGCCTCTGCCCCGCAGGAGAGGTGCAGCCCTGTAGCTGGGACGGAGGGTTTCGGTGTGCTCCCCACCCTGAGCGGGCTCAGCTCTGGTCCATGCCCCCCCAGCCCTGCCCCAGTTGGCTACTGGAAACCAGCAACTCCTTTGCTCGGCGACCCAATGGGTGGGAATGAGCAGGTCCCAGAAATGCCAAGAAAAATGCAGAAGGTGAAATTCCCCCGGTGAGACGATGGCAGGCGCAGGCTCTGCTGGGCTGTCCCCGTTTTTAAGGGAACGCCGTGCTCGGCTGGGAGTAGCTGAGCCTGCTGGGCCCAAGCGGTGCAGGGATGGGGGGGGGCAGATGGAGAAGATCCAGGAGCGGTGGGGACGGGGGCTGACCCCGTCAGCGAGGCTCCCTGGTGAGGGGCTGCGATGCCTCAGCCTGTAGCACCCGCGTGCCCCAGAGTACACGGAGGAGCCGTGTCCCCCATGTCCCCTGCGCCAGCGGGTGCCTGGGGCTGCCCTGAAAATAAAAAACCCAAAAGGCAGAGCCGGTGTCTTGGCAGAACGGCGAGCTCGTGTCTCAGCTCCGCTGCAGCCACGTCGAGCCCTCGGGGCTGGCTTCTCCTGCGGAGACAAGGCCGTGGCAGGGGAGCATGTGGCCCCCCCATGCAAGGAGCAGGATTTTATTCTTCTCATTTGGCTTTCTCTCACTTCAGGCTTTTGGTTTTTTTGTTTGTAGATCTTTTTGTTCCTCTGGATAGAGAGATCTGTAGGAAGAAAACCCTTGGTGTGACCTGCGACCTTCTCGAACCATAAACTTTAGTACTGCTAATACTGACACACGTGGATGGATCCTGGCATGACGTAAGGGGTGGAAAAAAACACTTTTTCAAAAACAAAACGAAAACAAAAAAAATTGCCTTAAGTATAAAGTGCGGAACAGTCAATACATATCACTCAGTTAGGAGGGGGTGGCGTGTTCTCTTGGCTTGTTCACAAGCAGCCAGCAGCAAAATTGTGCCTAAGCTTGATATTTCTTTTTTAAAAAAAAAGAACATTAGTTATGAGATTTTTTATGTAGAACAAATAGCAATGCCTTTTGGTTTTTTTAGCTTATTTTGCATATGTTTTGTAAGCAACGAAAAGAATTTTTTTTTGTATAAAAAAAATGTCTTGTACCCCACGCTTTTCTGCTGCTGTTTCTATAGTTAACGTTGCATCTTTAGGATCAACCAGAATATTAAAATTGTATTAAGAGAGACTGGATATAAAGAGAGGAATTCTCAGATTCGGCTCTGAAAGCCACTAAAAGCGAATGTAGCCACAGCGAGGGGATGTTCTTCCTTGCCTGGCTTGTACCTTCCATGATAAAAAAACAAACTCCTGTGCTGAATTCGCCATCTCATTGCTTTGGCCACTTCTGATTTGGGAAAAGGAAGTTAAACAGCAAAGCAAGTTGCAGCAGTATCCCCCAGCGGTGCTCCCGCTCCTCCTGGGAGGTGACCGAGGTCCGTCAAGGGTCTCTGCAAGATTTGCTTTACTCCCGGAGGATCCCGGAGGCCACGGTCCCGCCTGGGAGAGGAGGTGCCCTGCGGCTGTGCCGGAGCGTCGT